AACCAACGCCAACGCCAAAGCCAACGCGAAAGTTCTATGTGGACCGGCCTTTAGAGTCACCAAGTACAAGTGCGAATAAAAGTAATTATTCTGTAAAAGAAATTGCAAGACGACACCGGACTTCGATCCAACGAACGATTCGTCAATCACCGTCGAGCAATTCGTAGATAGAGTGAATGGTGCGATCAGTGCCTATAAGTGGGAAGAAAAGTGCTTGTTGTTGGCTGTGTATAGTCGACTCAAAGGCGCCGCAAAACTTTGGTTCAATTCGGCAGACAAATTGTACTCCAATTGGAATGAACTATCACAAAGTTTGTGTGAAGAGTTCAGCTGTATTCCGGATGAAGCTGACATACACTACAAACTGAGTCAGGCAGTGCGTAGGCCAAATGAAAACTTATTGGACTATTGCTTTCGTGTGAGTGCGTTAGGAAAGCGGTATGCATTAAGAGAGTCTGCAGTTGTGAAATATGCTAGAGATGGGTTGAAACATCGTGAACTACAAGTGGCTATAGCAACTACTCGTTTTAAAATATTGCACGAATTCCACCAAACAATAACCGATTATACAAAAAACATTCCGACGCGTTCGGGTAAATATGAAAAATCCTCTGAAAGTGAGACAAGCATAAATAAGCGATAAGGGTGGTAAAAGCAAGCAAATCATTTGTTACAATTGCCAACAAAAAGGACATGTTTCGAGTAAATGCCCGAAACCACAACGCAGGCGAAGGTGTGTGGATTGCGACAAAGTGCATCCTGAAAATGAACCCGAAAATTGCGGAAAAAAGAAAATGGCAATAAGGAAAACAAATGCACAGCGAGAAATAATAACGAATAACATTTTTGAGCAATGTGTCGTTGTAAACGGGCAACAATTTATGGCATTTATTGACAAGGGTAGTAAGTGCAGCATGGTCAGAGCTACCGTAGCAAACAAGTTAAGCTGTGAGAAAGAAAAATGCGCACTGAAGATAAGTGGTTTTTGCGGTGGTGTTATATACGCGCACGCAAAAATTCCTGTTCAATTACAGATTGAAAACTTAAAGCGATTCGTTACTCTGTTTGCGGTAGACGACGAACTTTTAACGGCGGATGTACTATTGGGTCAGGACCTTTTTAATGACATGCGGGCTGTTATCGTAGATGGCCGTATTACGTTTGCGAGCGATAATAAATTTAATATCGATGATTTCAAATGCGGTACTGACGATTTACGTGTTAAAATGATTTGGTTGAACTGTTGAACAATTACGGCGATATTTTCGCAACAAATATGCATGAGATAGGTAAAACCGAATTGGTCGGGATGACAATTGATCTTTATACTGACGTTGCGATCGCGCAGAAACCATTTGGGGTTCCTGAGCCTAAAAAAGAAATTATAGCGGATATGATTAATGAACTCTTGGAGTGTGACATTATTAGTAAATCCAACTCTGAATATGCAAGCCCAATCATTTTAGTTAAAAAGAAAAACGGAAGTGAGCGTTTGTGTGTTGATTTCAGGCGGTTGAATTTACACATGCGTAAAGAAGTTTTCCCAATGCCAAATATTGAGGAACAGCTGCAAAATGCTAAGCAGTACATGTATTTTACAGTGTTAGACTTATATAGCGGGTATTACCAAATACCTATCGCGAAATATAGTCAGAAATATACTGCGTTTGTAACGACGCAGGGGTTATTTGAATTTAAGCGAATGCCTTTTGGGCTAAAAAACGCACCTGTAGTGTTTCAGCGATTAATTGCCAAAATAAAAGAAAGTGTTAAGAATGACAATATGATGAACTATATGGACGATATTTTAATCGCCAGTCAAACGATAAATGAAATGTATGAAAAACTACATCGAGTGTTAAGTGCTCTTCGCGGAACAAACGTAACGTTGAATATACAAAAATGCGAGTTTTTGAAATATACAATTGAATTCCTGGGTCATGAGCTAACTCCTGACGGTATTGCCCCAGGTTTAGCGAAAACTTTGTCGATACGCGATTATAAAACGCCAACAAGTGTAACCGAAGTAAGACAGTTTCTCGGACTCAGCGGTTACTTTCGTAAATTTGTTCCGGGCTATGCATTAATAGCCGCTCCGTTAAATCGATAACTGCGTAAAAATTAAACATTCGTTTGGACTGAAGCTCAAGAAAGTGCATTTAATACACTAAAAACGATTTTAGTGTCTCGACCAGTGATGACTGCATTTCGAGTTGATGCGGAACACAAAGTGCATACTGACCCGAGCTCAGTCGGTCTGGCCGGCGTGTTGTTACAAAAAGAAAACGAAAACTGGAAACCAGTCATATACTATAGTCGCGCGACCACAGACGCGGAGAAAAAGTATCACAGCTACGAGCTGGAGACGCTTGCGGTCGTCGAATCCGTCGAGAGATTTAGATACTACATTTATGGCAAACCAACAAAAGTAATCATTGACTGTAACGCTATGAAAACTACAATGAAAAAACCTGAGATAGTGCCGCGAATCGCGAGGTGGTGGTTGCGAATTCAGGACTATGAACTTGAAATTGAGCATCGCAGTGGGCAGCGAATGGCGCATGTCGATGCGTTGAGCCGTATGCCTGCTGAAGAATCGCGTGAAATCGAAACAGCATCGTTAAGAACCGACAAAGTGCAAATTGATGAAGAAGATTGGTTGTTTGGAATGCAATTGCAAGGCGAACACTTTAGAGAAATAGTCGGCAAAATACGACGGGGGGACAAATCTACAACGAAAGATTTCCATCTAAACAATGGTAGATTGGTAAAGGTAGTCAATGGTAAAAACGCTTGGGTGGTGCCAAAAGCTTTACGGAGGCAAGTTGTGCACAATGCGCAGGCATCTTGGACTAGAGAAAACGCTTCAACGTATAGGCGAGCATATGTGGTTTGCTCGTATGCGAAATTTCGTGAAATCGTATATTAAGTCATGTATCGAATGCACCTACAACAAAGTTCCTGGTGACAAGAAAGAATGTGAGCTTCACGTGGGTGATGTGGAGCCAATACCCTTTAGAACGGTGCATGTGGACCACCTTCGACCATTTCCAAAAAGTGCGAAACGTAACGAGCATATCCTCGTTATAATCGACGCGTTTACACGTTTTGCTATCATACGTGCAGTTAAAAGCACCGCGACGAGACACGTAATCGACGTATTCACCGACATCAGCAGCTTCGTGGGAATGCCTGAACGCATTATATCTGATCGTGGGACGGCGTATACGTCCAAGGAATTTGAAAGCTTTTGTAAGGAGAACGACATTAAACACATTTCAAACGCCGTGATAACGCCCCGAGCTAATGGAATAGTTGAGCGTTGTAATCGAACCATTTTTTTCAATGCTCTTGCCATCCGTCAACANTTTTAGTGTCTCGACCAGTGATGACTGCATTTCGAGTTGATGCGGAATACAAAGTGCATACTGACCCGAGCTCAGTCGGTCTGGCCGGCGTGTTGTTACAAAAAGAAAACGAAAACTGGAAACCAGTCATATACTATAGTCGCGCGACCACAGACGCGGAGAAAAAGTATCACAGCTACGAGCTGGAGACGCTTGCGGTCGTCGAATCCGTCGAGAGATTTAGATACTACATTTATGGCAAGCCAACAATAGTAATCATTGACTGTAACGCTATAAAAACTACAATGAAAAAACGTGAGTTAGTGCCGCGGATCGCGAGGTGGTGGTTGCGTATTCAGGATTATGAACTTGAAATTGAGCATCGCAGTGGGCAGCGAATGGCGCATGTAGATGCGTTGAGCCGAATGCCTGCTGAAGAATCGCGTGAAATCGAAACAGCATCGTTACGAACCGACAAAGTGCAAATAGCTGAAGAAGATTGGTTGTTTGGAATGCAGTTGCAAGACGAACACATTAGAGAAATAGTCGGCAAAATACGACGGGGGGACAAATCTACAACGAAGGACTTCCATCTAAATAATGGTAGATTGTTAAAGGTAGTCAATGGTAAAAACGCTTGGGTGGTACCAAAAGCTTTACGTAGGCAAGTTGTGCACAATGCGCACGACAAAGCTGGGCATCTTGGACTAGAGAAAACGCTTCAACGTATAGGCGAGCATATGTGGTTTGCTCGTATGCGAAATTTCGTGAAATCGTATATTAAGTCATGTATCGAATGCACCTACAACAAAGTTCCTGGTGACAAGAAAGAATGTGAGCTTCACGTGGGTGATGTGGAGCCAATACCCTTTAGAACGGTGCATGTGGACCACCTTCGACCATTTCCAAAAAGTGCGAAACGTAACGAGCATATCCTCGTTATAATCGACGCGTTTACACGNCTCGTTATAATCGACGCATTTACACGTTTTGCTATCATACGTGCAGTTAAAAGCACCGCGACGAGACACGTAATCGACGTATTCAACGACATCAGCAGTTTCTTGGGTATGCCTGAACGCATTATATCTGATCGTGGTACGGCGTATACGTCCAAGGAATTTGAAGGCTTTTGTAAGGAGAACGACATAAAACATATTTCAAACGCCGTGAGAACGCCTCGAGCTAATGGAATGGTTGAGCGTTGTAATCGAACCATTTTGTCAATGCTCTTGCCATCCGTCAACAACGATAAACGCTGGGATGAATCACTTCGAAATATCCAATGGTCAATCAACAGTATGAAAAACAAAACGACATCACGTACACCTCAAGAGTTACTCTTCGGTTTCCAGCCACGCGATATCCTCAAAAATAAAATCGTCCTAGCATTACAACACGATGAAACATCAAACGCCAATTTGAACGAACTACGTACAACAGCAGCAGCACGCATAAAAGAGGAACACCTCAAAGCTAAGCAACGGTTTGATGAAAAGCACGCAGTACCAACCAAATATAGCATCAACGATTTGGGTGTTGTCGAATATTCCAATTACCCAAGTACTAAACAGCGATCGTTATGTGGTGCAGGGTATTCCTGGCTCTCGACGAACACAGCGAAAGTACTCTTCCGTATACGCTAGTGACAAAATGAAACCGTGGTGCGCCTTACCACAAATGTACGATGATGACGAAACCAGCGATTCTGAAAGCGGCGAAGATCCGTCGACAGCGGAACGTGGTCGTTCCGAAGCTTCAGGAAAGGCCGAACTGTAAGGTTGGCAACCCTTTTTCTTCAGTTGAGTCGGTCGGTTGCGAGACAGCGGCACGAGTGTGTGCTACGACGCGTTACGAGTACAACATCAGTGTTTCTTTTAAATATTAACATTCCAATTAATTAAATTATTAACTTTTGAACTAATAAATAACTTGTTACTAAGTGCGAGTAATTCATTTCTTGGACCGGAGTACCATCATAGCCTTTCAGGAGCCTTTCATATATGTAACAGAAGTCTAAGGCATATAAAAATATAAAAACACCACGGTTTTTGATTTTTAACATAACAGGTTATATATAAAAAATAAAGGTAATTTTCTGTTTTATTGAAATAAAGTATTCAATTGTATTTCCAACTAGTAATTTTTTAGATTAAAAATTTTTACAAGAAAAAATTGTTATTTTTTACTTTTAAGTGTTTTTTCTAAAATTTTTATATACGAAGTATACAAATATGCATATAAGAAGAAAGGGGGTTTAATCGTCTTTACAACGGTATCAATTGTTTAAAAATAGGTTGCAAATTTTTTTTTTTAAATATTATTTTTTTATAAAAAAATTTTTTAATTTTTATTTTTATAAACGAAGTATACAAATATGCATATCACAAGAAAGGATTTTAATTGCCTTTACAACGATACCAATTTTCAAAAAATCGGTTAGTATTTTTTTTTGTTTAAAATATTTTTTTATAAAAAAAGGTACTGTTTCCTTTAAATGTGTTTTTTCTCAAATTTTTATACGTATACAAATATGCAAATCAGAAGAAAGGGGATTTAATCATCCTTACAACGATATCAATTTTTTAAAAATCGCTTAGTATNTAAAAAAAGGTACTGTTTCCTTTAAATGTGTTTTTTCTCAAATTTTTATATACGACGTATACAAATATGCAAATCAGAAGAAAGGGGATTTAATCATCCTTACAACGATATCAATTTTTTAAAAATCGCTTAGTAATTTTTTTTTCAAAATATTTTTTTTTGTAAAAAAAGGCATTTTTTCATTTAAATTGTGTTTTTGCTTAAATTTTTATATTCGAAGTATACAAATATGCATATCAGAAAAAAGGGGGGTTAATCACCTTTACAACGATGTAAATTGTTTAAAATCTGTTCAAAATTTTTTGCAATATAAGGAATTTAATTTTTCGAAGACCTGAACTTTGACCCCTTATAGCACCTGTAATATAAGTTTGCACAAAAAAAGCTATATACCGTTTAAATAAGAGCAAAAGGAAGACTACGTCTATGTTTTTAGGTTTTTAGTTATTTACATGCAATAATTAAATATAATTTTTTACCAAAGGTCCTATTTCGAACTTCGAAGGCCCATATCTCGATTTCGGAGGCTAACTTCGAAAAACGCAGAAATCACTTTTTACCTATGACTCATTCTCTTAAAAAAAATTGGTTTGGTCCAATACCCAGAAAAAAAGTTGATTTTGCCGTACAGTGTTATTGAATGTTCAGATTATAAATTATTTGGAGCTTTGAGTTAATAAACTATTAAAGAATGTGAGCGTTAAGTAAATTAGCACCAAATAGAGAACTTTTGCCAAGTACTGCTTAAAGCTTGTCAACCGCGCTTAATTAACCAAATTTATGGCAGAGCGGACACAACGTTATGTGTGATGATGAAAATCATCATCATNTCCAATACCCAGAAAAAAAGTTGATTTTGCCGTACAGTGTTATTGAATGTTCAGATTATAAATTATTTGGAGCTTTGAGTTAATAAACTATTAAAGAATGTGAGCGTTAAGTAAATTAGCACCAAATAGAGAACTTTTGCCAAGTACTGCTTAAAGCTTGTCAACCGCGCTTAATTAACCAAATTTATGGCAGAGAGGACACAACGTTATGTGTGATGATGAAAATCTTCATTCCAGTTAATTCATTTATTTATATTATTAATGCGCAACCTTAAATTTGAGCCGTTCGAATGGCATAGTAGTGAAAAATATAGAAAAAAACTTACGAGTTTTACGTTTTCGTCATAGTGCGGTATTTTATATTTCTTAGCTCAATTGTTATAGTTTCCAATATGAACATACATACACACATACATACAGTACTTTTCAGTAACTACTTCACCCGCCGACTATTGGCTAGGTTCCTGGAGCCTTTTTTGATTAAAAATTTTCCATATGTCGACCAAGGTGAGGTACCCAGGAGCAATCTTGTATTCTTGTATTATGTTCTCCAATTAAAACTATTTTTTAAACGATTCGAGGAAAGGTTTACATTTTATTGCAGTTTTTATGTGTTAAGTGGGCGGATTTTAGAATAGAAGTCAGGGTTGATGAAGACGCTGTTGATGATCCGCTTAAAATTTCCCTATAAATTTTCAACTATTAATTCTGCACATAATCATAAGCGAAACTAATAGAAAAGTCGCAAAATTTAAGAGAAATTGAATTACTAATGCACATACAGCACATCACAAGCAATTTAAGTCATTCACAATTAATGAAATAAATGCATTATTGGCAATTATTTTATTATTATTATATTTTTATATGCCATACAAATCAATGTTCCAATATACAAAGCCTCTATGCCATATTATCGAGTTTCTATGATAAAGAAGTTTGATAACGCCAATGCACGCGCGGTGAGATTAATGACTAGCAAAACTGCGGCTATAACTACATATCGTCGTTTAAAGTACAAAACCGCGTATCGTCATTCTGCAAAACCGCGTAACTGACATTGGCTGCCAAACATTAGATTTGCTCACACAAGCTCTTGGCTCAATCCTTATCCATTCGTCCTGAAATATACTATCCAGAAATGCGATTGCTTTATAAAAGAGAGAACCAATTTGAAATATGAGTGTTTTTACGCTCTAGAAAATAATTTCTACAACTTCACATACGCGGTTTTGCATTTTGCTGATACGCGGTTTTGCATTTTGTTGATACGCGATTTTGCACTTTAAACGACGATATGTACATTAGGGTGGTCCAAAAATGCATGTGAAAAAGTAAAATCGGAATTTTTATGCTCTCACCCCCTTGGATTGTTCTATACCGAAAAAAGTATACCTTTATTTTTTCATTTTGAAATCCAAAAATATTTAGAGGTCGCTCAAAGCGCCCAATGTTTTCCATGTATTTTATATGGGGAAAAAACAACTTTTCGTAGAAATGGTATAGAATAGTTCAAAATCAATATTTTTCTACCAGAAAACTCTGTTTATCTGCAGGAGATTCCCAATAATAACACCCAATTATTTATTTAACCATTTTTTCACCGCAACTATAATTTATAGTTCCGCCAAAAACCCACAAAAACCCCGAAAACGCAATGGGGCGACCAATAAAAAATCGTTAGTATTAAAAAATGGTTAAATAAACAATTGGGTATTATTATCGAAAGTCTTCTGAAGATAACCAGAGTTTTCTGATCGAAAAATATTGATTTTCAAGAATTCTATACCATTTCTACGGAAAATTTTATTTTTCCCATATAAAAATACATGGAAAACTTTGAGCGCTTTGAGCGACCTCTAAATATTTCTTGATTTCAAAATAAAAAAATAGGGGTATACTTTTTTTCGATGTAGAGAAATCCTAGGTATGCAATAGAGGTATTTTAGAGAGTGTAAGAACAAATGCTTAATTTCTTCCCGTAGGACACAATAAACGCATTTTTTACTTCATATTTCTGGTTTCACTAACAGTAGTGGGCACCCTCACTAAGTCTTTGTTCTATTATGAAATAGTGTGACGCTTAAACAGCTGTTATAAGTGGTAATATTAGTTTTCCCAAAAATTCTAGATACGTGGTTAAGGCAGAAACGGGACGATATATAACATATTATGTTTGTGGTAAAGACCATACGGTTATAAGAAATGTTGCGGTACTCGGAATTAAACTTTTTTTTTGATGGAATGACTAAAAGAGACTTTTTTTTTGAAATTTTCGCATTAAATGTTGTAGAAGTGGAAAAATAATAAAAATTGGTGTGAATTTCAGATTTATTCCCAAAATTTTCAACATATTTACAATGTGTTCACAAAACTTATGCTTAAGTATAACAAATGTTATTTAGAAAGAATATAAAAACTTAAAATGGGTAAAAAATAACGGAGCTGAAAATTTTTTAGCGCAGGAAGTCATGTAAAAATGGTTTTTAAGAATAAGTTGAGATTTTGAGGGTGTTAGAAAAATTTTAAACGCAGTTTCGTGAATTACTCGAACAGCCCTACGACCTGTACTAAGTCACTTAAAAAGTTCATGATCAGTGTTTCACCGCGATATTTATCGCCACAATTGTTCATGTCATCAAATCTGTATCGTTCGTTCGATTTTCAAAAAATGAGGTTTCAAATTAAAGACCTTTCTTTTACATGGTTTTAGTTTTTTGAAAACGGTTGCCAAATGTTAGAAAATCAAATTCAAATAATCGAGACGCGAGACGAAAAAATATATTTCTCATACATAATTATTATACAATAGCTGCGTTCCAATCGGTAACTTTTTTCTTCGTGGTGAGACGGGGAGAAAAATTTACTATGGGGTACAAATAAATTGAATTTTGCTTTGCCAAATGCAAATCTGGCAATAGGAGTAGCAGTGTTTGATTCTGACCGAACTGGGGTTGAGAAGCCATGGGACCGGCTGAGGTGGGAGATGGTGGTTCTGTAAGATGTGGGCATATGGGATTTAACCTCGCTGAATATGTGCTGAAACACTTCCTTATTGATCCCAAAATTTGTAATGAATCTGTAAACATAAATTGTTTTCTTAGCTTGAACGTACACAGTTTCTGGGAGTTCCATCACGTTTGTGCAATCACGCAAATGCCGTCTCAGTACCCTTCTCTCCGCCTCCACAGATTCTTAAGCTTCCATAAGCGCAATAGCATATTTTTTTTTTTTTTTAGCTATAGGAAATGCAATCCACAAATCCCACAAAATGGCAAGGTACTCTTTGACAGCCCTTAAAATGCCAGGTTAATAAACATCAGACAGCAATAAAAATCTTGACAGAGTAGCTCATATAAAAATCCATTGAAGCATATGTTGTTGTAAAGGGTTGATTGTGACTCAATTCAACAATAAGACGGGGTGATAGGTTTACAAACTTAATACTAAACAACTTTATGAATAAATTTACAAAAACGCAATAAACTAAGTTAATAATATAATCAACCCAAGAAAAACATACAAGAAATAACAAATTCTTATTAAGAAACACATTAATTAAAATCTTTTATCCAATTTAGCTTCTTTTAAAAACAAAACTATTTCTTAAAAAAACACCATATTTTTAGTTTTAAAAATATCTGTCAAATTATTAAATTTTTTAAAAATCTCAAATTTGTTTCTGAAAAAATTTAAACCAACACATTCAAACAATATATGATGAGGGGTTTCATTAGCTCCACAATAACCACAATCAGTAGAAATATTACGATTAAATTTATGCAAATACATCTTACTATAAGTATAACCCACAATAAGTCTATTCAGAAGCTTTGTACTAAAAACATCTAAGTCATTCTTTTTTGACCTAAACCATGGATTTTTATCTTTAGATGCTATCACATCAACAACATCTGAATTCCAGTTAGGACAAGCTTGCTTAATCTTTTCTTTAACATCACCCCATAACTCAAAACTAATTTTCAACAAAGCCTCTTGGGGCGTAAAATCCAAATCCAATATTCTACCAAAATTTGTTGCCGTTTTAGCAGCTAAATCCACCTTCTCATTAAAAGAAATACCAACATGACTTGGAACCCAAACAATTACAACACTTGTTAATAAAGAATGAACTAACTGATTATGAAATTCAGCAACAAGAAAATTATTAGTAACATCACAGTCTAAAATTTGAATTGCAGCTAAGCTATCTGTAAAAATTGCAACATTTTTCCAACTATATCTTTTAGCTAGCCTAACCGCTTCATTAAGAGCAACCAACTCCCCAAAAGTCGAAGAAAAAGAAGTATTAATTTTATATAGATAAGAAACATTACTCACTATATCATATACAGCACAACCAACTACATTATCCATAACAGATGCATCTGTAGCTAATAAATGAAAACCCTGACATAATAAGTTACGCCGAAGCAGGCGGGTCGTTTTGAAAAAATTTTTTCTTGCGTTTAAAAAAAATATAATTTTTCATAGAATTTCTTCCTTGTGTGCGAGGACTTTTTTTGGAAGAAGCAAGGACCTATTGTGGTTTTCATCTGATGTCTTATTAAGTACAAGCTACTTCTTACATTTGATTTTCTCATTGTGTGCAAGGATATTGCATTTGGAGAAGCAAGAACAAGCTGCTCCTTTCATTCAATTTTCTCCTTGGGTGCAAGGATATTGCATTTGGAGAAATAAGGATCTTTTGAGGCGATTTTATTCAAGACTGCTTATGAAGAAGCAAGGACCTTTTGAGGCGGTTTTATAATATAAAGAACAAACTGCTCTTGCATTTCCTTTTCATTTACATTTGGAGAAGCAAAAGTCTTTTGAGGCGATTTTATTCAAGACTGCTTATGAAGAAGCAAGGACCTTTTGAAGCGGTTTTATATATTATAAAGAACAGCTGCTCTTGCATTTCATTTTCATTTTTATTTTTTAAATTGTTTTTAATTAGTAAACTTTCGAAATTAACAACACAAAAAATCTCTCACATGAATGCCAAAAATAATAAACAACATTTGACGGTGATGCTCATTTGCTATAAAGTGTACCAAAATAAATTAAAAATAACAAAATTCTAAAGGAAATATATAAAAATAACTTAATATTTCATTTGGCAACGCTATTCTAGACGAATACAACGTAATCGACGAAAAGTCTACACGAAGGCGATCGTTAGACTTACAAAATTGTACGCGGAGAAGAATTCGCCTGCAGACGAATCGTTCGGGTCCCCTATCGTTCGAAATACATGATGAGGCTGTATATTTATTTTGCAACTTCCAAGTTGCGTTCGTTTTTTGTGTACTTTTTTGAGCTCCCCTTTTGATTCTCACTCTTTATTACCGCCAAACAATATAAACATATTTAGAAGCTGTCAAAATTTTACCTAGCGCCATGAGCTAAAAAATTAATTACACTATGCGACAGTCAAAATCGGGATGGGATGAAACCAACGGGAAATGTTATATCGGTCAAAAACAAGTTACACGTGGCGTTTCGCTGGGTCACGTCTAGGAATCGAGATATATCGATTTGAAGTTAGTAACTATCATATAGGGGAAATTGTCACCTTGCTGGTATTTTTTTTTGACATAACTCGAGAACCACTAGTCCGATTTTGCTCAAACAAATCTAAAAAAATTAAAAATTACAATTCCTTTAATCTGTTAATAAAACGTTTTTCTATATACTCAACAGTTTTGCCGGTAAAAATAAATGTATGAAGAAAAAAAAAAATATTTTTGCCTAAAAATTAAATTTTCTTTTTTTTAATTCATAAAAAATCCAAAACGGAAAAAAGTGTCACGTAAAGTCACATAACCTATGAACAAAATGAGACATACATCATGAAAATCAATGTATGCGTTCCGCTTTTATTCAAAATTAAGTAAAGGTATGAATTTCAAAAATTTGCTCGAGATATGCTCAAAATTCCTTGGAAAAAACATTGATGACTTTTTTTAATGATTGTCAGAATTAAAAAAAAAGTAATAAACAAAAGGTTATATGATTTTTATGGTAACAAACTAAAAAACGGTCATAAATGTGCGTGGATAATTAAAAGGAAAAAAGGAAAGTGCAATTTTTTAATTATTTGGGTTTTTTCCGTTGGCTACCTGCATGATTTTTTTACACAAATTGCACCCACATTTATGAGTGGTCATGTTTTAGAACGTTTCGAAGAATTTAAAACGCACACGAATCAGGTATATAGCCACCCTTAAAAGATGCGCCAATTCATAAATACCTCTCAGTAAAATATTGAAACTTACGTAGTATTTATAGGTGTTCATTGATCGATTTTTGTCATTCGACAAGTTTCTCCGAACGCGTAAAGTACGATTTTTTTAAAGTGACGAAAAAGTAATAAAAGTATAAAACCGAAATGAGTGCAAATTGTCCAGAAAATATCAATTTATTTTGTTACGTTTGTGGCAAAAGAGCTTTTTCAACAAATACTGCATTACTCATACTGCATTACCCCGCTCTTGTGACCAAGATGTTGCACTACTTCCAGAAAATTGGAGTGAATATGTGCCTCAAAATTCACTTCTTGCATCACCATCTCGAATACTTCAGCAAGCAGCTAGTCTCAGAGTCGGATGAACATGGCGAGCGCTTCCATCAAGTGGCAATGCCAATGGAAACGCGATATAAAGGCAAAAGGCTCGATTCGCTGGTGGCTGAAATTTGTTGGTGGTCGCAAAAGACGTACGATCCCGACAATGAAGATGAAGAAGAAGAATATACAATGGGAGTTTCCTCCGAGGGTAAGTCACAAAAATGAAGTTAACTGACTGATTAAAAACAATTGATTTTTTCCAGATGAAGACAGATCCTCATCCGATACAGACTCTGAACAAGTGGGCGAACCACCACGCAAGAAAGTAAAGGGCGCAAACAAACGAAAATAAGTTTTGCGTTCATCGATTTTTATAACCTATGTATCTATGTAATAACCTAATAATTACCTGTAATAATTTTTAATTTTACGTGTTAATAATAAATAATATATAATAAATATTATCCAAATTCATTGAAACATAAAATCAATATTCTTGTCAAAATGAGATACCTTCACTTAATTGTGAATAAAAGCGAAACGCGTCCATCGATTTTCATGATCTATGTCTCATTTTGCTTAAAGGTTATGTGACTTTGCGTGAAAGTAATACGACTTGCCTTTTTTCCGTTTTGGATTTTTTATGAATTTAAAAAATAAAAAAATTTAATATTTTAGGCAAAAAATATTTTTTTTCTTCATACATTTATTTTTACCGGCAAAACTGTTGATTATATAGAAAAACGTTATATGAACAGATTAAAGGAATTGTAATTTTTAATTTTTTTAAATTTGTTTGAGCAAAATCGGACTAGTGGTTCTCGAGTTATGTCAAAAAGAAGACCACCAAATGTGACAATTTCCCCTATATGATAGTTACTAACTTCACATCGATATATCTCGATTCCTAGACGTGACCCAGCGAAACGCCGGGACACGTATAACTTCTTTTTTACCGATATAACTTTCCCCGGTAGTTTGAACTCTTCCCGATCACTGACCCCTACCATTTGTCTCACAGTGTTATATGCCGCCAGGAAGCCACTAAAGTCGACAAATTTTATACTAAGAATTTTAATAAGAGCATAGCCTTGCGTAAGCTCTTCACAGAAAAAATGTCAAAAATAAAATATTGGTTTGACGTTTCTTGTTTCCATATAGAAAGTAGAGAATTACAAGAATTAAAATTTTGGAATAAAATTAAACACAGGGAGTCCCTGCGGTGTTCCAAAAAAACAATTTTTGTTAAACCAAATTTCAAAAAATGCAAAATTTTAATGGAACGAATAAAAAATATATGTAAAAAAAGTAATTTTTTATTATTTTATCAAATAGAATGGGCTTTTAGCTTTCAAAAGAAGAAATAAAAATCAGCTAATTTTTTGCACTTTCTGAAGTAATGCGTTTTTCGCTAATGCATAAAATAATTTTTCCATTTTTTGTCAGTGCCTTGAGATCTGCACGATTCGTTCCTTTTTCAACAGTGAAGTGTTAGATTAAAAAGCTTGACCTGTGGACAATAGAAGGTTTATTTTTTCTTAAAGAGTTGCCACCTGTTAAAAAATTAGATTGTTAAAATATTAGATTAAAATTTTTTTATAAGTTAAGTGAATTATTAAGAGATGAGTATAAATCAAAATGTGTATTAGCTACATGTAGAGAGTTGCCACCTGTTTAAAAAATCCAGTTCCACTTGAATTAAAGGAATTAGGTAATTGAAATAGATAGGTATCGCCATAAGGGAGTCAGACGAACGAGGTTTAAGAAGGTTTTAGCTTAAAAATATTACGAATAGGGTTTCCACCTGCTTGTAAAGTCGTATTTGGTGTTTTATTACAAATACATACATTGTCAATCAGTGTGTTGTTCTGATTACATTCCTCTTTAATTACTGAACTCTTAAATTTCAGAAATGTTTTTACTCTCGACTTATTTCTTAATAAATATGTCAAATTTTTTCATTTGCCTGATACTCATATTGATATATATATTTCAGTTACCTTATTCCCTTAATAAAAGTGAATTTGAATTTGTAAATATGTGGCAACCCTTCTACGTGTCATTTAGAGGTAAAGTATTTTCAAAACTAGTTCAATTGATACCCATATTGTAATATCTAATTCATTTAACTTATTAAATAATTTTAATAAGTTTTGTAATAGGTGGCAACCCTTTTCAAAAATAAAAAACTTTATTGCACATCTTCCGTCTGTCTGTCCGTGAACACGATAACTCGAGACNTTGTAATAGGTGGCAACCCTTTTCAAAAATAAAAAACTTTATTGCACATCGATAACTCGAGAAAAAATTTAGATATGTCCACAAAATTTGGTAAGTAGGTTTCCCTTTATCCAAGGTAGGTTGGGATTGAAAATGGGCAGAATCGGACAATAACCACGCCCACCTCCCATATAACGCCATTTTCGAAATATGCAAAAATACGATATTTCCGCAAATACTGGATCCAAATTGTTGAAAGTTGGTATGCGAAGTAGAAATTTGGCACAAAATAAGACAGTTATGAAATTTTTGGAAAATGGGCGTGGCCCCGCCCACTTATGATAAAAAGCTGTATCTCTGTAGTCCCTTTACCAATCCCCACCAACACCACCGCTGAGAACATTACTTAGGGCTTGACTAAGAAACCTGTTGAAAATTTTTGAAATCCGACAAGACACGCCCACCTCCCATATAACGGTAATTTACAGAAATACGAAAACTGCGATAAATAAGTAACTATTTAAGCTAATTTACTCAAAATCGATATATGCAATAACCTCTTAGCAGAAAATTATAATTAGGGAAATTTTTGGAAAATGAGCGTGGCACCGCCCACTTATGCCTAGATATGTGTATCTCAGTAACCGGTTTACCAATTTCTACCAAACTCCACACATTTATCAACCTTGGCGTGAAAAAGCAATATGCTGAAAGTTTTTGAAATCGGACTAAAATTACCGCCACTTACCATATAACGGTACATTTCAGAAATACGAAAACTCCGAGTAAGACGCTAACTTACAACAATCACTTAACAAGACACAAGATGATTGATTACTTACTACGTAAGTGTATATTGATAACCACCTTACCGATTTCCACCAAATTTGGTCCAAATATTTCAATAAATCATAGTATATTATCGAAATGTTTGGAAAAATACTCTTGCTTTTCATGCAGTTTACTGAAATGTGAAGAAACGATATTTAATATGTGCGCCGGATATATAATGTTCGGTTTCGCCCGAACTTATACTTCTTTACTTGTTTATGTAATTTTTATGAGGTGGAAAATTAATTACGGCATAACTTTTGAAGCACAACATTAACTAGATTGAAATTTTATGTGCAATTAGTACTTATGTGAAAACTTCATATGAAGTTGGTAACTAAAGTGTGCTTTAAAAAATAACTAAATGGCAAGTAACGAAAAGTGTGTATACACTTATTATTACTTATATTGAGTAAATTTACTTCCTCAAATTAATGTCGCCCTATTCTTAGCATGAACCTGAATTAAGGAAAAACTTCTCAAATTGAGTAAATTTTTCGTAATATTAAGGAAAAAAGAGTAACTCTAAAATAAGGATGCTGTTTTCTTGTTTTAAGGAAATGCTTTTTTCTGAGTGGAGCTCTCCTTCTCACAATTTTCAAAATTTTCGGTTGACCGCGTATAAATTTTGAATCATTTCATTTTAAAAACTTTTTAAGTATGTATTGTATTCTATAAAAAATTAATAAAATAAACCAACTTTTAAAGATAAAATATTCTGCGACCTTGAGCGCAATTTTTATTGCAAAAACATCTTAATAGAAGGCACATTTAGAAAACACGTCGAAACGCTCTAAATATTTTTGTAACTACGAGTCCTTATAACGCAGAGCTGTAAAACTATCGATGGTACTATCGATACTATCGAATGGTTATATTTTTGTGCACTATCGAATGGTCGTTGGCCACTATCGATAGTATTTGTTTGAGGAAATATATATATTGTTTAGATTATATGTACTACTTAGTATGCATTTTTTTATTTTTGAAAATATGAATTTGACTACCTAGATTTGCTTACACATCACTATTTTTTTACCTATTACCGGGTTTTACACGGTTCAAGTAACGAATTCAATTCGCAAATAGAAAACACAAAAAAGAGAATGAACCAGAATTGCTTTAAAGTACTTGAATCATGTTAGTCGGGTGTAATTAAATTTGAAAAAACTAGTTTGAATATCTTATTGGAACCATAATACGGTGTTAGTGATTCTGCGTCGACAGAAGAAACTATTGATATAAGCTAGGGTTAGTAAAATTTTGGAGATTCTTGTTTCGAAGAGAAAGGCCAAAGTTACTGAAAATCGCTATATAACAATTAGCTAATTCTTCAGGAACTAAACAAAACTAAAAAGTTTATTGAGGGATTCACAACGGTGTCGTAAGTGTCGTATTATTGTATGTCGTAAACATTAAAAGCTCAAATAAACGTTTATTGAATTTTAAACCACGACCAACTGTTTTTCAACACTACGAAAATTCATAATATAACTTTTATGGTACTTTTCGAACCCCTTAATATGTTTTTAAAGCGTTTAAAGTTTACGATATACAACAATACGACACTTACGACACCGTTGTGAATACCCCATATATAAATAGCTTCGTCAATGCATTTTAAATTGTCCGATACTCTCAATAGTATCGATAGTGTCATTGCAAACTAGCGAAAACATCGAATGGAATGACTATCGATAGTTTTACAGCTCTATGCCGCAAATCGGGGAATTTCCCCGAGTTGGCTTCCCTGGTAAAATTACTTACAATCAGAGATCGAAAATAACCGTCACCAAGTGTCTTGTATGGTGTTTACCACTGATACAAACGCTCATCTCTCAAGCAAAGAGTGTTTCTAACCGTGGCATATCACTTTGTGCGATCTTTATCAGCAGCTAAAATTTCCCTTAGGCGAAGCAACATCACAAAAATATAGAAAAAAGGTTTTTTCTTAACAGCAGTCGCCCCTCNGGACGGGAACTTGGCACCGAGATGTGTATACAAAATTAATTCCATACTCAAAAATTTGCGTTATTCGGAAAGGCGGCATGGTAGCTCCCGTACAAATTTACTTTTATACTGCATATGNCATAAAAATACAATCACCGTTCGGAGTCGGCGTAAAACTGTAGGTCCTCCCCTTTTTGTGACAACATCAAGGCGCGCGCCACAATTTGGAGGAGAAGCTCGGCCAAGCACTAATATATGTGTAAGCGCCAATCTATTATCTTATTACATTAAACGAGCAATTCTTGTATATATATATATCTTACTAATATNAAAAAGGAGGCATGTCGCCTCCCATACATACTAAAAATTTCTTAATACATATCTCTGGAAGGATAGAAAATCTTTGG